TTTAGGGTTTTGAACTTGAACACTTCCCTTATGGTTCCCTGCAGAAATACCTGCTCGTAAAGACTTTTCCGGGCCCCAAAACTACCACGCAGCCAAAGTCGACAACCCAACGCCCTAAACTTTTAAATCCACAAGTGACAGCCCAAAGTTCGAAGCCCAAGAGGATGCATCCTGGCAATTACATCTACTACGACACCATGCAGCAGGCTCTCGGCTCCTGCGCTGAACCTCGGACCCAGTTTTCTTCACAGGTGTATGCTTTAGCTGTTGCTGTTTAAGAACCCTAAACCCTAAACTCCCAAATGGCTCCGGCTCAAGTGTTTGGCTTAAGGTGTCCTAGGATCTCCCTGTGCTTTGGCCTTCATTGGTGCCTTCTCCCCTTTTTGGTGCCTTCACTCGTCGTGCTCATAGATCCTGTTGGCAGCCGTTCGTGGTCTCAGTGGTTCGACGCCGAGCATGATCAGCAGGGGGTGGCTTGCGAATTTAGGCTGCAGTTGTTGGGATTAGAAGTACGAGAGCCTAGGCTTTGAGCATGACTTGACCTGCATTGATGGCTTGCAGCGCTGGATCTGCGTTCCGAGATACGTCAACTCATCTTTGATTGGTACCGTGCAGCTGAAACCTTTTGGCCAGCGGCGATGATGCGTTTCAAGTCTGATGGCTTGGGCTTCAGGGCCTTGGGTTTTAGAATGGAAGGTTTATGACTTATAATACCAAGCTTCAAGACAAACCCGAAATATTAAAGCACGAAAGTATATAGTTGTTGCTGCCATGGTTTTCCTTTTCATTGAGGGTCATTCCGGTAGTGGTAAAAGCACTATCGTCACGACCCTCGTGCGAGAAATGAGCAACTTCTGGAAGCCAGGCAGCACTGCAGGCCAGCCATTGTGTAGGCAACAGCTGGCATGAGGGCGAAGAGTCTGCCTGGACACTGACTGGGATCTAGCTTGTTCCGACCAGAAAAATCAGCTTGATCTGTGACGGCTGACGATCCCAGCAGGGCGTTCTTCTGTCGAGTATGGGGTTGGGCAAGCCTAGCAGCCACTTTGATTTTGCGTGTAGGCCGGGGCACTGGCGCAGCAGCCTGGCTCCACGCCCAAACTCCAACTGGCGGAGTGGTCGTTTTCGGCGGCTTCAAGGAGGGTCCACTGGATGTTTCGTTGTCGGAAAGCTGCCGTCAAGCCGAGCTTCTTGAGGCACACGGCCTGAGCGAGTATCTCGTTGAATTTTGAATCTTGTGGAAAGTACGCCTTGACATGTTGTCTTTTTCAGCCAACAGCGTCCTCATTTCTAGCTTGCCGGAGGATGTAGACGCGGCGCAGCCATCAGCGAAGCACTTGACGTGCTGGATGGGCGCGAGACTGGCCCATTGTGAGGATGTCCCTGTCCTTGCCTTTGAGCATTTGAAACTGTAAGTTCTTCACTCTTGAGCCCATGAACTTGTGACTCGTAACCAATGCTTCAATGTTCTGGCAAAAAAATTTTTCTTTGTCTACCAGCTTGATTTTGAAGTGTATTATGTATTGCAGGCCGTGCACGCACGCCCTTGCTCGTGCCAAGGGGTTCCTCTGCGCATGTCTTGTTACGTGTTGTGCTCCACTGTGTGTTGCTTTGTCTTGGTGCCGTCCTCAGAAGAAGGGAAGGTACTTGCATGCCTGCATACGCGAGCCGTTTTGTTCAGTTGCGCAGGGTTTGGGCCCTTGGGCTTCGGGCAAAGGGTTCTGTAGGCCACTTGGTCCAATGCGATTGTGTTGCTAGGCTAAGGTGCATGCAAAAACAGAGGGGGTCTAAGATGGTCTAAGCCGAATACCAGCATCGATGTCGCACAAGTGTTCGTGTTTGAGTTGGCTGGGGTTGTTGTTGTTGGTGGTGTTCGCGCTGCGAAGCATCAGCTCATAAAAGTTGACGCATGGCTTTTGTGCTTCGGATGGCCAGCAAGTCAAGAACCGCCTTCACTGGGGATCAGTTGCAGCATGTGCTTCACAGCTGCGAAACTTCTGGTAAGCTGGCGTTCGTCTGGTCGTTGCCGCGTCTTGTCTGAAGCATCCATCTATGAGCCTGGCTCACATCGACCCCTGGCTTGCAAAGGGAGGTGAGCCGTGCAGAATTCCGAATGCTGGTAAGGACGGAACAAAGCTCTTGACGAAGAGCATGTGGGAAGAGGCTCGAAAGGCTGGCTTCAGCGTCAGCATCCCGGAGGTGCATTGCTCGCCGAACATCGCGCCTTCGCTGCAAGGAGTGTGCTGGCCGGCGCAGGGCCTCTGCATCTCATCTGAACAGCTCATGTCAGGCAGCAAAGCGGAAGCGGACCCGGGATGCAGACACGCCCGACGATCACCTTGGCCAGGGGCAGAACTCTTGGGCAAGCCGCCAGGCAACTAACAATTGCCAATTAGCCTGTCCGGTAGCTTTACGCCACGACTGTGTCCGGAGAGCTCGATTCCCTGCTGACAGTAGCTTCAATCAGCAAGTCCATGGGTGACACGGCCGCCCAAACCACACCCTCTCCATAATGCGATTTAGGACGTGTGCGTCTGCTTGATGGGAGCAAGTCTCTTGACAGACCACTTGGAAGGACATGATCGAAAAGTTGCCCCATGCTGCTGTGCTTGGCAGACTTCGATCGCTTGCCCGTGGCGCTCTGGGTAGGCGCCGTCTTCTGCTTTACGAACTCTTGCCTGCTGTCGCTGGCTTTGCCTTTGTTTTAGTTTTGCGATGACTTACACCGTCGCCGGAAATCGCGTCGAGCATACGCACGCTTTGCATTTTCAATCTGGTATCTTCGAACTAGTCCAGTTTTGGGTGGGAGGCAACTCCTGGGTGGTCCTCTCGGCAAGCCATCAGAGAAGCTTCCAAAGCGCCAACGCCAACGCAGCGCTGAGGACATGGCCCTTAAATGATCTAAAAGCTGCAGGTGCGCAGCAATAGCGTTAACAACAGCATCTTGTTCTTTCAGAATGCCTGGGAAGACATATCGGTTCCAAATTTTGCGCAGGAGCTAAAGGCCATCGTTGCAGCGCAGAGGCTGCGGGCATAGTATCACCTTTCTCATCCCTGCCGGGCCGGAACCTGGAACTGGCGAGTCTGGGATTAGCACATGGGTGGATTGGGATAATCTTGCATACGAGCACTTTCAGCTCGTGGCAGGAAGAAGCGGGCCGGCGTGTCGAAGAGGCGCCATGCTGCAGCCCTCAAGCAGCGTCGCCGCCAACAACAAAAGAGGCGGCGGAGCATCGCTCATGCAACTGACGCCCGCGGAGGAACATGCTACATGAAAGTGATGGGGTGGATGACAGAGTACGCAGACATCTACGTGACCTATTACGTGGCCTGGCGACCAAGAAACTAAGGGGTGCTGGCGCCGAGTGCAGATGGGGGGTGGCTCAAGTGGTGGATGCCGCAAGGGGTGCTGAGGGTGTGGCAAGAGTGGTGACTCAGATCCTGCATGGAGAGTCGCAATCGTCCCTCACCTTGGATGTGGGGTGCTTCGTTCGCGTGTGGCGGCATGGCTACAAGAGAACTGCTACCTCCTGGTGCAGAACTTCGACTTGGAGCTGGGGGCGGCGCTTCTAGAGCTTACGGGGTGCGCCTGCTGGGCCTCCACATGGCCCGGACGCAGCAGCTGGTACTGTAGAGGACGGGATGTTCCGCCTAGGGGAAGGTTTATAGGGTATGTTTTAGGTATTCTTTGTTTTTGTTGGAGCTTAGTGGTTCGTGACGTAGGATTTAGGGTTACTGACTGAGCTTCCCTACACCCTAAACCCTATGCCCTGTAAACCCTAAACCTTAAACCCTAAACATTAAACCCTAAGCCATAAACCCTAAACCTTAAACCCTAAACCGTTGGTTAGATTCGGTAAGGGGAACACTCTGGGGTTCTGTGGCCGCGAGCTTGTTGGATTCGGGGCGGAACTTTGGGTTTCAGGGTTGCACAGTCTCCGGCGTTGTGGATTAAACTACGAGCATTGCATCCTCCTAGGGTTGATGGTATAAATCCTGCATTACCCCATAATAAGGACTGTACTCTATAATTTCAATAGTTTAGGGTCCTTAAGGCAACGCAAGATTGATATCATCAACAGCAGGGCTTTGGGTTTAGGGTTTCGGGTCTAGGGGGGGTGTAGAAACTTCGGAAAGGGCTTAGAGTTTAGGGCATAAGAGGTTGCATGCACCAACCAGAGCCAGAACAATACAGCATATCACGTCTACTGGGATGCATACTGGGCCTGCTACCACGATGTTTGGGGTGTTGCAGCTCTGGGTTGCAGTCTCGTGCGTTTCAACCCTGCTAGCACTTAAGAAGTGATCTGCAGCTTCAGAATCGGCAACAGCGCCGCTGAGGAGGAGGACATTGCGGTGAGGGTGCTGACGCGTGTGATTGGTGCTTATCCGAAGAAGACGCCTTCCTGCAGCCAAGTCATCGAGAGCCATAAGCATGCAAGCTTGCGTGGTAGAAGCCAGTGGCATTGTCTTGATCGCCATCGGCATGGCCATCAGGTGGTGACGTGATGACGACTGCCATCCCTGTCATCATAGTTTTATTCATAATTACGAAGGTTCCCTTTTATCATTGGGTCATGGTCACACATTCAACCCCAAACCCAAACCCCACAAACCCATTCGCTTGTAAAAACCCGAGCCATCAGCCAACGCCAGCCCCTCGACGCGTTGCCTGTCAGAGTTCTTGCGCTTTCACTCTGTCTGGCAAGAGCCCTCCTCCTTTGCCAAAGCTCCAGCTTGCTTCTCCCAGATAAAGCCCGGGGTTTCGGCATGTTGAAGCCGTCTAGATTATGGAGTTGCTAAGAGCAGCGGCAAGTAACCTGAAGGAATCTTCTTCTCGTTGACATGGGATGGACCGCTTGCTCTAAGCAGGGACAGGCCTCCAGCTGTTTCGGGATGGGCATATAGTATCTCTGATTTCAGGTTTAAGGTTATGTCCGACTCAATAGTGCTAATCCTACCGAACTTGCAAAGCCACAGTTTACAAGAAAAGTAGGAACAAATATGTGGGAATTCCAGGTTTGCACGGAATACGAAAAATAGCGTAGCTAGGAGAAATAAGAGAAACATAGGCATGAAACCAAGAAAAATCGGAGAACAACCTGAATAACATAGGAACAATAGGAACAACATATGGGAAAAATAGGGAAAAACTAGGGATAAAATAAAATTAAGGGACAATTAGGAATAACTTCGGGAAAACATAAGAGATGTCGGGAAAACGCTAGGAAAAAAAAACTATGAAAAACGCAGGCCCACCGGGTAGAAAGGAGCGCGGGAAGAGCGGGCGGGGGTTCCTGTATTTTTTCTTATTTTGTTTCTATTTCCGAAAAGCCAGGATTCCTATGTTATGTTTATCCTATTTTGGGCCATTTGCGATCGGACTAGATTCCTATGTTTGTCTTATTTTGATCCTATTTTGGGCCATTTGCGATCTGACTAAAGTTAGCACAAGAGTCGGAATAAGTTTGATTAAGGGTTTAAAGTGATAGGGTTTTGCGGATTTCCGGTTTCGGGCTTTCGGTTTTTGGCTGATTAGGATTACGGTCTTTGGGGTGTTCGGTAGCGTTTTGCGCAGGGTCTTCGGTTAAATCTTTCTGTCTGTCGATTTGTCCTGTGGTTTTTGTTTGCAGACCTCCTCCGGGGCGGCTAGCCATGAGCGTACTGTTGCGGTTCAGGGTTTCGGGCTCAGGTGATATTGTTGCCTTTATGCCAGCTCGATACACGGCCCGTGAGATCTTGCGGGGGACTTAGGGCGGAGTGGCGGCAGCTCACATGACATCCTACCGAATGAATCCAATGTATAGGGGCCTCAAAAATACCAATACTATTTTTTTTTTTGGGGGGGGGGCGTCCTTATTGTAATTATAGTATAATGGGCCCCAAAACCCTATTATAATTATTAAGGCCCCTACATTAAGCCTATCCCAACAACCCGAAACCCTAAACCCTAAACCCCCAACCCTAAACCGTCATGAAGCCTAAAACCCTAAACCCTAAACCCTACACCCAAAGCCTAAGAGCACAAGAGACGCAGGCCATGAATTACGGCCGACTTGAGGGTCATGCCGAGCTCAAGGCCCGGGCGCAATTTTGCATCGAGTTTAGGGCTTAGGGTTTAGGGCTTTGGGTTCAGGGCTTCGGGTTTAGAGTTTTATGCGGCCTCATTGACTTTACGGTATATGTGGGTTTTGTGGGACGTCGCCAATGGGAGCCTAAATATAGCCGGTCTCCCGCGTGATTCGGGTCCCTGCTTCCTTACTGACAGCAGCGCTGAGAGGCTTGGAAGACTCTTGGGACCCTAAACCCTATAAACCTTGGTGTTCTTCTGGTTGGCTCTTAGGACTTGAACTTTTTTAGGTTCCTGTATGAACTATAATAAGGAGACTAAAAATTTAACTTTGTGGAGGGGTTCACAAGTCAGCCAAGAAACCCTTACACCTTTTCAAACCCAAAACACCATTCAACCGTAGACCCTGAACTTCCCAAATACCCCAAATACCCAAACCCTTAAAGTCCTAAACCCATTCCTTGGACAGTTGCTTTTTCAGTTGAAGGAGTTTCAGTTTCAGGCCGTGCACTCTTCTAGACTCATGGTTTAATGCGTTTAGGGTTTAGGGGGATGGGGGCTTAGGGGTTCTGGATAGGGTCAAGCGTTTAGGGCTTCAGGGCTTAGGGTGTATGTAGAGTTTTAGGTTTAGTGGTATAGGGTTTTCGTGTCTAGACCCCTGATTGTCACCCCCGCCCCCCCCCCCTGTCTCCGAGGCCCGTAATTGCTGCATTTCGACACCCTGGGCCCTAAACGTTTGCGTGAGTCTAAGTAGCTCCAACAGCAGTAGTCCAATATAGGGGCCTGAATAGTTACCTATATTGTTTTGGGAACTCCTCATTATATTTACAGTATGATATACTCTAAAACCCTGTTCCAATTATTAAGGTCCCTACGTTAGTCTAACTTTTTCTGTAGGAGCTCTGCGTAAGATGTCGACCTGCGATGCCTTCTAAGGGCAACTACTGGCCCGAGACGGCATCAACTCAAACCGCGTAAGGACAAAACCCGAGAATTGACAACTATAAGCCCCAGAATGAACCTAAATCCTTAAACCCTACAGACCCTCAACCCTAAACCCTAAACCCCCAGCCCAGAATGACACCAGAAACCCTTGAAAACCCTAAGCCCGTGAAGCCCTAAACTCGGCCCTAAACCCTTGTAAGCCCCAAACCCTCAGCCCTAGAATGAAACCATACAGCCAAGGCATCGGGTCGGACGGCCGCAAACCGCGTTTAGGATCTAGAGTTTGGGGGTCGGGGTTTAGGGTTTAGGGGTCGGGGTTTAGGGTGTAGGGGTTGGGGTTTAGGGGTTTAGGGTTTAGGGGTCGGGGTTTAGGGTTTAGGGTTTAGGGGTCGGGGTTTAGGGTTTAGGGGTTGGGGATTCGGGTTTAGGGGTTGGTGATTAGGGTTTAGGGGTTAGGGTTTAGGGTCTAGGGGTTGGGGTTGATATAGGGTTTGGGGATTTCGAAACGCTTATCCCTGCAAAAACCTCCAAAAGAAGCGCCGTCTTTGCTGCTCGAGGTGGTGGACTTGAAACAGGAGGCCAAGCCAGGTTTAAGGATTTGGTGCTTTAAGTTGTTGTTTTTTCCGGTCTTAGGTTTAGGGTGTACAGAGTAAGTTCAGGATCACGGTTTGGGGGGGTTCAGGGCCACAGCGTCCAGGAGTTGTTCGGGTCTAGGGTTGCAGGGTTCTTGTTTAAACCCTAAACAGCCTAAACCCCTAACCCCTAAACCCTATAAACCCTAAACCCTAAACCCTAAACCCTAAACCCTAACCCCGCCTCTCTTTCAGCAAAAAACCTCTTGGCGGTGTAACGCCATCAGTGCAAAGTTGGATCCTTTCTTCCTGTGCTCCCCGGGCCCCTGAAGTCCCATAGTTCCTCAAGCTGTAGATTCATCTTGCCTGATACTGGTTTAGGGTTTAGGGTTTAGGGTTTAGGGTGGTAGACTCAACCTCAAACTTAAAACCGAGCTTGTTTAAGGCTCGTTCTCTGAAGCCTTTCGCCGAAAGGGGTGGGTGGATCCAGGGGCTATCAAGGTCGGGGGCCTTACTACATACCTATACTATTTGTTGGGGTTGGGGTCCGGTTCTACAGGGGCCTTAGTAATTACTTCTACTATTTTGGAGGTGCCTTGTTATAGTTAGAGTACTGCTTGGCCGCTTAAAGAGCGACAGGGGTCTGGGGGGTGGAATCCCCGTTTTTGGGCCAATCGCACGCTGCTTTTCGAAGGAATCCCCATGCCTTGGCTGGATTGAGGATTTAGTGTTTAGGGTTTAGGGTTTAGGGTTTAGGGTTTAGGGACGTTACCCTGCGAGGCCCCGGTGTTTGTTGCGTGCCGGCGGACAAGGTTTCCATGTGAGCTGGAATTGGAGATGGCATCATTGGTATCTGCTTGCTCAGGTGCAGCTGTTTTTGGTAGTGGCAAGTATATACGATCTAACAGTCATGATAGAGTGAGATAGGATGTTTTAAGGTGGGCTCCCAACATCGAATCCGCGTCTGTTCAACTGCTCCGCAGCCTCCGCCTTGGCCGTTAAGCAGCGAGCTTTCGGCTAAACCCTAAACCCTCAAAGCCCTAAACCCTAAGCCCTAAAACCCTAAACCCGAAACACCTAAAGCCCTAAGCCCTCAAAGCCCTAAGCCCTTAACCCTAAAACCTTCAAAGCTCAAAAACCCTTTGAGGCGGGCCTGGTCTCCTCAAGTGATGGGAAGCCCCTGGATTTCGCCAAGCAGCCTGATCCATGAGACTGTCGTCAACTTGTAAACAGTGTGGGTTCGAGGGTTTTTCAGGGTCCTATATTATATAAGGGTTAGGGTTTGGAGTTTTGGGGTAAACTATGTAATTTCGAGTGGTTACTGGGCTTAGGGGGTTTAGGGTTTGGGGAAAACTGTGTGGGGTTTTAGCGGTCTTAGGGTTCAGGGTTTGAGGGGTCCGGGCTTTCGCCTCGTGTTAGGGTTTAGGGTTTAGGGTTTAGGGTTTAGGGTTTGGGGGTTTAGGGTTTGGGAATTGAAGGTTTCGGGTTCTAGGTTTCTGGGGATAGTCTCGAGTACTGGGTTCCTGTCTGGGTGTTCCTGAGAGATTGAGGTTTTAGGGTTTAGGGTTTAATAAGGTTTAGGACTTAGGGTTTAGGGTTTAACGGTTTAGGGTTTAGGATTTAGGGTTTAGAGGGGGTTTTCGTTGTCAAGTCATTGTTAACAATGCCAGTAATTCTTGGTTTCTTTGCCCAGTGCTGCTTCGGATTCCTTGATAGTATAAACCCTAAACCCTAAACCCTAAACCGTATTAGTTTCATATCGAACCAATGGACGTAATGATAGTCTTGGATACCCAGTTGAGTCGCTTGCACTTTGGCTAGGGAGGATCGTAAGTACTTATACAGTAGAATTTCAGACTGTAGGGTTTCTATATTAGGAACTGCTATTATGCTGTGGGCAAGTATCTCCCATTAGTATTTAGGACTCAGTGCTCTCCAAACTCCAAAAAACCTAGATCCTAAACCTTCCTAAACCCTAAAACAGCCCTAAATCCCGATCCCCGAACCCGAAATCCCTTAACCCTAAACCCTTTAATCCCTGAGCCCTAAACCCTAAACCCCTAAAGCGGCCCCGAACTCCCTAAACCCTAAACCCCCAAATCCCTGAACCTGAGAGCCGCAGGTATCCGCTCGGTACGATCCTCAGGCTGGAGCCTTTTCACTCCTGCGCCCACACCAAGCAGCACGACCGGTGCCTTGCCCTACAATAGACCCTAGACCCTAAACCCTAGACCCTAAAACCCTAAACCCTAGACCCTAAAACCCTAAACCCTAAACCCTAAAACCCTCAAAACCCTAAACCCCTAAACCCTAAATCCTAAAACCCTCAAAACCCTAAACCCGAAAGTCGCTTTCAGGGTTCAGGGTTTAGGGTGTGAGGATT